TATTTTCTAATTATATTTATGAATAAAATTTCTTCTATTTTTTATTTTTCATTTCCCTTATATATCTCAATACTATTTATATTTGTTATTATTTCTATTTGTATTTCTTTTTCTTGTTCTATCTATTATTGAAATGTAAATATTTAATTCTCTATTGTTATTATATTCTTTAATTATTATTCTTGATCTGTACTATCTTCTGTGTTTTCAATTTTGATATTCTCTTTTATATTCATTAATTTATTTCTTGTATTTGAATATCTTTTCGTTTATTGTTTCTTTTTCTATTTCTTTATTTTCAACTTTTAACTTTTATGTTCAATGTTTAGATGTTCTTTACTATTCATTAATGTTTGTTGATTTTCTCATTTGATTTCTTTCTTTTTTAATTTTATTTATTGTGTTTCATATCTCATTCTTATCATTTGTTATGTCTATTCTCTAATACTTTAACACTTGTTATTTAAATAATGAATATAATGAAATATATTAATAAATGGAAGTTAATTAATGTAAGTGTTCATTTAATAAAATACAATAAATATGAATATGAAATGATAAGAAATAATCAATTAAAATAATGATGAATATTACTATAAAATGAAATGAATATAATTAATTGAAATTAATACAAGAGATTGGTATTGTATGAATTAACAAATTAAGAATTATGAAATGATAAATTAAAATGATGTAATATTTGTAATGATAAAATATTACCATTTGAACATATACTATTAAATTATAATGTAAATAAGAATATACAAGTTGATAAACAAGATTTAATAATGAACATGTTTTAAGAATAACTAAATTAAAATGTAAAATAAATATAATGAATGATAATGAAATAGAGAATGAAATGAAATTATTCTTCAATAAAATGAAATTGATAGAAACCACTAAGATAAAATAATACAATAAAATACAAAATAAAAGTAATATCAATAATAATGATTAATAAAGAATTAGTAAGAATAATCAATGAACAATGTATTATAAAACAATATAAAATAATGTAGAAATCATGAAGGAGAATAGAGAGATATAGAAGTATCTCATGAACAATACATTCAAGAGAATGAAATAATTTCAAATAAATAAAATGAAATAGAAAATTCAAGTTATATTGAAATTTAATTGTAAGTTTTATTTTTTCAATTTTTTCATTTGGTTTAAAATATCATTTCAGAACCACAACACACAACCATAAAATGAATCCAAGAGTCAAACCAAATATTGTCTAGTCACTGCATTATATTTAGTGAAACAACACCTCATTTAAGAATGTCGATGGTATTTATTTATTAAGAATTAGTATGAATGATTATTAAGGAATGTTGTTATTCATTAGGATGTTAATGTTATTCATTTGTTGGATGAAAGTACATTTATTAATGAAAGATTAAAGTTGAATAAGGTGTGTTGTTAAGATAAAGAAGAATTCTACTCAGATTGTTAATATTAAAGAAGATGAAGCATAGTCATGATGTTATTGATATATTCTTCTTAAAATGATATTATAAATAACCAATTTCAACATTCATTAACTTTAATTAAAACACAAAACACAACTTAAATGATTCTTCATTTAAAAGATAATAATTCAATGAAAATAAAGAATATTAAAGAAACTGATTATCTCACTTCCTAACATGATAAAATACAAAACATTAAGTAAATTGTAATGAATATTTTATTATCAAATGAATTGTTTATTATGTATTTTATATCAATTAAATTATACAATTAAAATACTTTTTATTCTTATCAATTCAATTATCTTATTTCTTTATCTCTTCTTCAATATGGCTGAAAGCAATTTTCTGGTATTGTTTTATTCTGTTTTAACATTTCTTCACACCCACATTCATAAAAACATGCTGTTCCAAATGCTGTAATTGATGATGGTATATTAATTGATGTTAACAATGAACATCCACTAAAACATTTATATCCTATTTTACTAATAGATGTTGGTATAATGATAGATGTTAATGATAAACATCTATCAAAACAATATTCTCCAAGTTCACTAACAGATGATGGTATGTTAATTGATTTTAATGAATAACATCTAGAAAAACACCCATCTTCTATTTCATTAATTGATGATGGTATAGTTATAGATGTTAGTGTTGAACATCCAGAAAAACAATGATCACTAACTTAGTAATTGAAGATGGAATAATAAATTCATTAATACTTTTCTTTTCAATATTCTTTCCATTGATTATTTGTAGAGTTTTTGGTGTTTCAATACTAACTAACACTGGTTCATTCACAAATATTCTTTCTTTACTAATAAATTGTATGTTTTGATTGTTAATTGATGTTAATGATGTGCACCAATAAAAACAATTAAATCCTATTGTACTAATTGTTGATGGAATAATTATTGATTTTAATGATTTACATCCATTAAAACAATTATCAGATAATTCTTTAGTTCTACTTGGGATATCAATTCTTGTTAATGCTATACACCAATCAAAACACTGACATCCAATTGATGTAACTTCTGGTGGTATTACTTCTCCATATTTCATTCTATCTAATTGTGTGTATCTTATATTTTTACATACACCCCATTTTTCTTTCTATTTTAAATAAGTTGAATAATCTACTTCATACCATGTTACTTTTTTAAATATTTTTCCATCATTAAATATTTTATCACTATAATTATAAATATGAAATGTTTCAATATTAGGAAATAATTTTCTTGAATATTCATTTAATGGAATTGGATTAAAATGAAATCGTTCCATATTTCCTTGAAATCTTTTAACTCCAATTTCTAAATTAATAAAATCTTTAATGTCATCGAAAAACATTGACGTTATCATTATTTCATTATATCCTAATTTCATTATTGATTGTTTATTTATTAGTTCTTAATTTATTAGTTCATTTAATAATAATTTGAATGAAGTTGTTTTGTAGTTATATTCAATTCATAAATGAAGTATAAGATGATTAAAGAATATGAATTTGATATTATTTCATTGAGTGTTATCAATTATTTGAAGATTGAAATAGAAATATGATGATATGAATTATCATTGATAATACTATGAATGATATGAATGAATTTACTGATGAATGATGAATATAAAGAGAGAAATGAGATGTGTTATAAGAATATACAATTATTTAAATATCAAAATGATGAATATCAAGTAAATGTGATAGAATAGAATAAAAAGAAATAAACAAATTAATTATATCACATTGTGTATTTCATATTTAATTTATCAAATATAATACAATGTAAATAGAATCACAATACAAAATAAAACAACTAATGAAGAAGAGATTACAATTGAGAAAGATAGATAAATTCATTATTCAAATTAAAATTTATTGATATTTTTTATTTTTTAGTTGATAAGAACATGATAAATCATAAAAAAGAACACAACAATAATCACTCTCAAAATATGAAATAAACAATAACCACAACATACAAAACAATTAGAAATAATATGAAAAGAATGACAAATATGAATTTTATCAGAAAGAATAAATAATAAGAAATTTGAAAGAAACAAAAGAAATAATATGAATAAATGATAAAATAAGTTGAAATAATAGAAGATATACATTATAATATCATCACAAATTATTATGATGATAACTAACAGTTAAATGAAGAATGAAAGAGAAATAATAAATGATAAATATGATATTTTATATAAAACACAATAAAATAA